TCTTGAGCAAATCAAACTTTTGTACATTTGCTGCAAAGTTTCTTACTTGGTGATCTAGCATATCCTATTGCAGGCTGACAAGTCTAGGCTGTCCCTTTACAAAGAGCAACAATGTTGTCACTAGGGATGCAGCAATACCAGTTTTTCGGTATCGAGTATGAGTACTGATACTTTGCTTTCGGTACTCCTTAATACCGATTACCGATACTGGTGCTTCTGCTGACATGGAGCCGTCTTCCTGGGCAATCTGATTGCCTGAGAAGCCGGCTCCATGTTTTTTGGCTTGATTGTGCTTGGCCGGGAAACCAGCTTCCTAGCCGATCAGCATCGAGCCAGCTTTCCGGCCAATCAGGTAGCTGGGCGGTGAGTAATGACCCGCCTCCCAGCTTCCTGATTGGCCGGGAAGCCGGCTTAATGCTGATTGACTTTAAAGCTGGCTCCCCAGCCATTTAGCATTGAGACGTCTGTTCGGGATTGGTAATGGTGCATCCCTAGTTGTCACCCAGCCATGCAAGCTCCTTCAGTTGGCTGTCGGGATGTCATAAAGGGGTTTAAGATATGCCCCCCTTCCCAGAGACCCCCACAACCACCAGGAAGAGGCCCTTCTGGCAAAGCACCCTCCCTATGTTGAGGGCATATCATACCGATTCGGTAGTGAGAGGGCTGCTAATATTTCAAAGCCCTGCCCTGTCCCCCTGCTGTCTTATCCATCTCATCCTCTCAATATCAGCCCGCCGGCTGTCTCCTTGCCATGAAGTCAAACTCACCCCTCCTGATAATTGGTGCTTGCTCCTGCCCATGGCCAATAATTGTTGTGGCTGTTATTTTTCACCTTGCTTTTTACCTGCTGATCTGCTAGTAACAAACTTCCTGTCCAAGGGTCAAAATGCACACTTACTGTACTGTATCTATGGAGAAGCACCCTGAGACAGGAAGCATCTCTATAACATAGGGGAGATGTGTTTTAGAGCACAGAGATAAACCTGGCAGGGCTGATAACACTGCTTAAGGTAACACCACAGAGGGCATGGTACAACACTGGATTTCTGACAGGAACAACAGGTACTGTATGTATTTGAACATAGTGAACAGATATAACATAAAAACATTTAATGGTATACAGACATTCCTCACTTAACGGCTTACCTGTTTTGCGACCACTTGCTCTTACGACCGACCTCCGACCTTACGTGGGGGAACGTGGCAGCGGCAGTGTGACGTCTCGCCGGCGGAAGTGATGTACTCCGTTCTTCACCGTGCGGGTCTCGGTAAGTATTTTATTGCCCGATGTACAGTACACTGTTCGGTACTGTACATCTGCAACGCTATACAGTACTGTACTAATGCAGTACAGTACTGTATAGAGTTCCTCACTTAACGACCAATCCGTTTAACGACCTGGTCGTGGGAACAGAACTCGGCCGTTAAGTGAGGAATACCTGTAATTAAGAAACCAAATGAGAGATAATAAAACGTAATTAGTCGGGTTTATATACACCTTAACCAGTTGACATCGGCGGTGTTAAACCCCCTTCCCATCCAGGCCATTTTTCAGTATTCAGCGCTGCGGTACCTTGACTGACACTTATTCCGTCATGCAGCGCTGTACTGAAATGAATGTTATACCCTTTTTTGCGGACACATAGAGCTTTCTTTTGGTGGTAATTATTCATCACTGGGGGTTTTATTTTTTTACTATATTAAGGAAGTCCGTCCGTTTTTTTACTACGGGCGGACGGCAAGAGGTTAAAGAGGAACTTTACCCATATCTTTGAAATGGCAGCAAAGTAATGACAATCTAGAAACATATACAGTACTTCTAGGTAATTGCCGGCTGTTTATTCTTTGCATACCTTATTTTTCTTTTTCTCCCAATTCTTTTTGCGGCGGCCATTTTTACTGAGGGCAGATTAATATATCTCCCTTTACATGGTGGAACTCTGGCACATGTGACTAGGACATGTGACCATGCACTCAGGTCACATGCATGTCACCATGCATCTCAGGGGAGGAAAACGTCTTTCCCTAAGATCCCGTGAGATTACAGATGAGATTTCCCAGCAATGCTCTGCTGATGTAACCTTCCCAGGATGCAACGCTTGGGCACAGATTACATCATTAATGCCCAAGAGGACCAGAAAGTGGAAAAAACAATAATTGTAAGTAACAGAAAAATATGTTTGTTTAGCTAATGAATGTGAGATGATTTCATGTCAGGATGCAGAGCTACATGCTGAGGTGATTTTTTATGAAACGGGGTAAAGGTCCACTTTAAGTGACATCCCTCTGAGACAGATCTTGCCAGGCATATAGCAACCCATGAACATTTCACTCTACAGTATGTATAGACTACATAGAATGGACTGCTGTGGGGTATGAAGTCAGACCAAGTCCTTGATGGATCTCTGTCTTAGCACCACCTATTTCAAGTACGTGGATAACGTCAGACACATGGCTGTGCCATGAGATTACCTGTATTTCCCATTGTAGTTAAAGGAGAACTATGAGATGAGTGCTTTTCACTCATCCTCATAGTTCTAGCCGACCTGTGACAATGAGACTGTCACAGGTCGGCTCAGTAGATCGGGAGGTGAGCGAACACATACCGGCGCTCGCTCACCTCTCGATCCTGTCACGGCTCTCTGCCGTGACAGGGGAGGGGCTGGATTCTCCCCGCTCCGATCTGCCAGCGCTGACTGGCGGAACGGAAGGGGCGGGTACAGCTGGCTCTGCCTCTAGATAGGCAGAGGCAGCTGTCACTCATGCAGCTGTCACTGTCACTCACGCAGGCGGATCGCGACATCGATGTCGGGATCCGCTCCGGCGTCTCAGTATACCGCGAGCTCTAGCTCGTGGTATACTGAGACTAGAGTGACGGGAGGACGATAGTTTGTGTCCTCCCGTTACCCTAAGGAGAACTATGGGGAAAAGCCCTGACCCCATAGTTCTCCTTTAACCTGCACATGGAGAAGGTAGGAAGAGGAGCTTTGAAATCATTCAGGGGAATATTACCAAGCCATTGGTTCAGGTGCGTGGATGAAATGTGGATCAAGATTAGAACATTGGAAATACAAGCTTTTAGCGAACACATGGACAAATGCACCAAGTTTACATGTGAAGAGGCTCAGAATAACAATTACGCTTTTTGGACAGGGTGTTGCATGTAGTTTATGTGACAATTATAGTACATTTCACAAAACATTTCAATATGATTTATCTCAACAAATGGATACATCACATACTGCTCACATACAGGTCTTTAATATTGATTGGACCCTGGGCAAACATTTTTTTTGGGCCCCCCTCCCTACCTGCCATACCCCACCCCCTACCTGCCAGCCACACTTCCTACTCGCCCCACCTGCAGAACAGATAGGAGGAGACATCAGAGGGAGACACAAATATGAATTAATACAATACACTTCTACTTAGGCCCCATTCATACTGAATCCATTAGCATCCGTTGGCATCCGATCAACAGATGCCAAAGGAAGGAAACCCGAAAAATGTATTGGTGCGAATGGAACCAGTTCCCACTGCTGCGTTGCGTAGTGTTAAGTTGCAGTGCGCTGGGCAAAAGTAAAGCATACTCTCCTTTTTTTCAGTTCAACGTAACACAACACAATAAAAACAGATTTCAACGCAATGCAATGCAATGTAAGTTAAAAAAAAAAAAAACATAGTTTGTACAAAAACTATACAAGTATACAAGTTCCACTTAGGACATTTGAATGAAAATATGACACTCCTCTGTTTACAATGGGGTTACGTTCTGATAAACCCATTGAAACCCGATTGCATTGTAAACCGAAGAGTTACTATAGTGTACTGTAGTGCCGCGGTCAGGAGCAGACGGCCGGTGCTCCGGGGCCTGAGCCTACAGGGGGGGCCCAGTATCTATTCAAACACAGCCCCGGGGCAGAGATGGCGGGGCCCGTTGGTGTCCAGCTGCCAGTTACCATCGGATCAGTATGCGGCAGGCCCCCCATCTCATCAAACTGCAATAGCCAATAGCAGGTTAGCTAGTAAAACCCTACCCACTAAGAGGAGGAGTGGGAGAACACTCTCTCTCTCTCTTAGGCCCGCTCCTCTGCTCAGTGGGCAGGTGCAATAGCCAGCCTGCTATCGGCTATTGCAATTTGAAATAGCCAATAGCAGTCTTGCTATTGCTCCCGGCTGTTTACATACAGAAGCTAGCTGGCAGGTGAATGGGTAAGCAGAGAGTCTCGGGAATGGTTGCTTGAAAGTTACTATTACCTCTCAAACAACCAGAAACTACAGTTATCCGGCACCTACCCATACCGTGGGTGACGAATTTCTGGGACTTTACTGTACAGTAAGCTCCATCGTATATGTGATAGATCTGAACTTGATCAATCGCAACCGGTGGAGCATCTGTAAAAACTGGCAAAAAAAAAAAAATGGAACGGAATGGAACACATTGAGTTATGTTTTTAGTCCAATTTTGGTGTGAACAGGCCCTAAAAGATAGGGATTAAAGATATAACTCTTACTGTGGTGTCTACAGTATGTATAAACTGTAGACTTTATTTTCTGAAGTTAATATTTGTCAGGGTCTTACCCGGCGGCGTCTCACCCGCACATCCCGGCCCCTCCTCCAGCAGCGACTTCACCCCTCGTCGCCACGGTCTCGCCGCTTATAGCTCAGCCCACTAGACGCCGGCTCCCTCGTTAAGAGCGAGGGTGATTCAATTGCTCGGCGTTCAAGCAAGGAGATGTACTAAATTTATACCTAGTATTACTTACCTCATTGCTTACTTATAGACCCATGTATGACATTAATACAGTGGTAACTCTTATAGAACTAATCCGTGATACTGGTAGTATTATTATCCCTGTATGTCTGTAATACAGAGGGTTACTGTTTAAGTTGCTTGGTGGTATATGATGTATGTGGGAGCTGCGCCCCCTCGCCTCCTCTAAAGAGAGTTATAGCAGTGTCCCCAGCCTGAACCACCTATTTATCCGAGTGGGCTGTGCTAAGCTACTCCGCAGTTGCGATCCAACAGCATTGGGAGGACTGTTACAATATTAGACAGAAGTTTTTTCATGGCTCTCTTGATCTCATGGTTTCTCAAGCTGTATATGATTGGATTCATCAATGGAGACACCAATGTGTACGCGAGAGCTCTATATTTATTCATGCTGGTTGAGCTGTCATCAGACGGGGCCACATACACAATGATTAATGTGCCATAAAAAGCACAAACTATGGACAAATGGGAACTGCAAGTGGAGAAGGCTTTTCTTTGCCCAGAAATGGAAAACATCTTCAGAATAGTGACCACGATGCAGATGTACGTTATAATAATAATAACAAATGGGAAAACAAAGGTGAAGGTTGAATTAATAAAATCCTGCAGTATTAAAACAGAAGTGTCTGAGGTGGACAACCCAACTAATGGGCCGAAATCACAGAAAAAGTGATCTATAGAATTCAGTCCACAGTAATTCAGTTGAAATAACTCAATCAGTTCACTTGATAATAAAGTGATAGCCAAGACCCAGAACCCAATGATCATCCGGGAACAAACATGGGAGTTCATAAGTGATGAATATCTCAATGGCTTGCAGATGGCCAAATAGCGATCGGAGGACATGGCGGCAATAAGAAAACTTTGCAAATAACCAAAAACAGCAAGACAGTAAAGTTGAATAAAGCAGCCAGCCAGTGGTACGTTTCCTTCCTCTTTGATGATAATGTCCAGTGCCATTGGTATCACACTGGTGGTCATTAGGACATCATATGCAGCTAAATGTTTGAGAAAGAAGAACATCGGAATTTTAAGCTGATCATTGGTTTCCACTATAATGATAATTAAAATATTTCCACTTAGTATAAACAAGTACGGAAGAAGAAACCCGATAAATATTAGAATTTTGTATTTATAAAGACCTTGAAATCCGAGTAGTTTTATGTGTGTGACCTGAGTCTGATTAAACTCACACATTCTGTTTAAAACCTTGGACCGATATTTAAGGACCTGACTTTTATCCTGAAAATTTTACATATAGAAACAATATTATTAATAATAAATTATAAAATGTATAAAAACAATCAAATGAAAAAAATATAGAAATTATAATTATTAAAATCTCAAAGGTTTTTCTTTTCACAGTTTTGTCCCCAGAGGTCTTTGAAGCCTAGATGTTCAAGTCAAAGTAAGCAGCATATGTCATATGTGTCATTTAACTATAACTCACTGAGCAATTTGCATCTCTCAATTTTATATATATATACACATACATACAGGTGAAACTCGAATAATTAGAATATGGTGCAAAGTTCATTTATTTCACTAATGCAACTTAAAAGGTGAAACTAATATATGAGATAGACTCATTACATGCAAAGCAAGATAGTTCAAGCCGTGATTTGTCATCATTGTGATGATTATGGCTTACAGCTCATGAAAACCCCAAGAACCCCAAATCCACAACCTCAAAAAAGTAGATTATTACATGCAATCAATACAACAAGGATTGTACATAGAACAATATCGGACCTCTGAAAAGTACAAGCATGCATATGTACTCAGTACTTGGTTTGGGCCCCTTTTGCAGCACTTACTGCAATTACTTTTACACGATATATATAGCTAAGTAGGACCAACTACAAGCACTAGTTAACCTTCTGCTTAGATAATCTATAATCTGCTTATATTTTGACCTTCTCTGGTTCCACTTTTCCCTCCTCATCTAAGGCTGGGCACACACCTTACAACCATCGCAAGATTTTTGTCTTGCGATGGTTGTAAGGTACTTAAAAAAACGTACGATCTGCCTATCTTGCATAGGCAGATCGTACTTGCGATGATCGCAAGCCACGCCCCCTGAGGGGCGGGCTTCTGATGACCGCAATGCCGAACGGGCAGTGTGCGCTTGCGCACACCGGCCCGTCTGGCTTTTATCTTATGAACATACTACACACACGCCGAACATCGTACGATCGATGCTCGGCAGGTTTTGAAACATGTTCGTAAGTTTAAAGTCGTGCGACCTTACAGTAGTAGAGGTCGCACGGCTTCCACACACCTTACGATAATCGTACGATCGCGGGATTTCCCGCGATTATCGTAAGTTGTGTGGGGACCTTAAGTGTTACTAAAAGTTTTAAATAAAACCTTTCTGTTTTCATGACATACCTTATTTTTAGATGCTGTGATGTCATCACTGGGTTACTCTGCGACTCCAGATCATGTTCGGTCTGGGCTGCCAGGGTGCTGTACATAGCTCTATGAAAACATCACAGTAACCTGCCCCAGTATGCCTCTGAAGAGCCCTCAGCCCTGCTGCAAGCAATGAGTTGGCTCCTGGGAGGGCTTATAAAGATATCAAAACATATCTCTTTATATCTTCAAAAGATATTGCTACACAAGCTGAGGGCTATGGGCATAGATGAGGTGGTGTGTACATGGATAGACTTCATGGGTGGTTGTCAGTCTAAAGGAAGGGGCGTTTCTAGGCAGCATGCATCAGGATGCAGGCCACACTAGAACACTAGATAATGCCTGCATTCTTCAACGAAAAAAAACATTCTTGGTTTATATTTTGTCTTGATAGAGCCATTATTTTTACAAATTAGGGAAATCAAAGTGCAGCATACCATTGTTGCTTAAAATCTGTCCTGGAAGCTGCCTCACTTGAAAAATAGCTAGAAAAGCAGCATGCACCAAAACCACATCACACCATGGCTCGCATTCACCATACACCACTATCTCTATAATACAATTTAGGCGTAGACCTAACAGAAATAAAAACAAAAAACTGGCAGGCAGAGGCAGCAGTGCGGGGTGTGGAGGTAATATGGGGAAACAAGTTGAAAATCAGATCCTGTTGTACACATCAGAGGTGATGCTATTCTGCATTTCATTAACCAGAGTAGCAGACCTATCCAATCCAAGCAATAAGGGAAGGACTCACCGGCACTCCAACTGTGATGTATCCTCGTATTTTATTGACGCAAGTCAATCATATTACAAAGCAAGTGAAGTTTCAGGGCCACATGGGGTCCCTTCCAAGCAAACAATGTGATCCAGTCACAAGACATTGAGGAGATCGTTGACTGGCTCACAACGTTTCCATCATCTTTGAGCTCAAACCAGCTTCTGACAAAATTCTCCAACTCAGAATGAATCGAGAAAGCTAGTCGTGTGACCGTTGAAACATCTTTAAGAAAAATACAGCAAGTCCAGTTGCTTTGATTTATTTTTTTACAGATAGTTATAACGATAATCACTTTGGATGCATAAACAAAACTGCAATAGGTTTTCAAGTAATTCAGGGAAGAAAACTCAAGTAGAAATGTATTTTTACTATTGCTAACACAGGCAAACGTGTCTGATGATGTGGTCAATGCTTGATATAACAATGTTTCACTACAATAGGCTTCCCGCACACTTCAAATGGACCAATTAGCACTGCACCGCAGCACAAGACATTCTATATCATTCAGATCTCTATTAGTTATTGCCAGATACTAAAAACAGGTTGTTTTGCAATTGACCTAAATATGGAGATGCTGAGTTTTCTCCGCCTTATCACAGGTAAGAAGAGGGATTTGCCATTCTCAGGCAATGTCTTGTTCCGTGTGTTGATGTGATTTTATAATGTGAAGAGCGAAGTGGAAAATGCCAACTGGGATTAATTGATTGCATGTCCACCATGGGGATATGAACCTGGCAGCTGAGGTTCTATGTACATGACTGGTTAATTGTAAAAAACTGTGCTGGGTCTCATTACTTGTAATCATCATACTCCAAATATAACCTTTCATTAAAATAGAACAATAGTCAATGTAAAAAAAATTAGAGGAGAAACATCAAAGTGACCTAAAGCAAACTGCATAATTTTAAGTGGAATGTTTAACCTTTCTATAATTTGAAGAATACCTAATTGTTCTGCCATTGCCTGGGATTTAATTCAACAGGGTGACAACGAAGATTCCCTTTTTGTAAAATCAGTTCAGTGTTGTCAAGAGCGGCAGATGTAACACAGGGCGCTGTCTTCCATCCCTTGTCTCCTGGTGTCACATTGGCTACTATTACCTTTCATATCGTCTCTTTCTAATTAAGACGCCATATGTCCCATGGTTGCACAGTGTAGGCAAGTGAAGAGTAAGGGGATTGAGCCAACCCCTGAAAGAAAATCTGTGCCTGAGCACTGTAAAAAAAAAAAAACATATTCAGGAAATCAGTTAAGAACAGACAGGTAAACATAGAATAAAGCACAGGAATGAGTTCTACCGCCTGTCTTGAAACATGCGTAAAAATGTTACAACCCCAATTTCCAAAAAGTTGGGACGCTGTGTAAAATCTACATAAAAACAGAATGTACAGCCTTTTTTCTCCTTCCATCCAAAATGGGACCCTAGAGTTACTTAATAGAGGCCTTATGCCTCAATGCATCATTACCAACTGTGTTCATACTTAGCTGCAAGTTTAGCATTTTATTGTTGCCTTTACGTGTCCTATACACAGGGCAGTTATATTTCAACCCGTAGCGACACCAAACATAGCCTAACTGTGATACATTTCCGACTATTGGGGCAGCCATACCAAAGTGCCCATAAGTAAGTGCTTCTTTGATGCCTTAAGCACTTAGACTTTCTGTCTCTGTAAGACCTACCTCAATTCCCAAATCGGTGTACCCCCAATGGTCGGAAAACGTTTATGTATATTATTATTTTCAATATGATTGTTTTATTGCCAACTCTTTATTTAGGTTACTAGTCTTTCCCCTGAGACGCCGGGGAGGCGGTCACTCTCCATCAGCCCTAGCCCCGTATATATATCCGGTTAGGGAATTTATTTCTGCCCTGCAGCGTGATCCCCATCCAGTAGGGGGCCCCGCTGTAATGGTCAGAAACTTATGTTCAAAAAGTTGTTTACTAACTTGTTGTCTTTGTTCTTGTCTTACCTCTCTCCCTCGCCTCCTCTCCACTCCCTTAATCCTCCTGTCCCATCGCACTCCTGACCGGACAAAAACCCAAATCCAACTGGGTGGGTGCGGTAGTGAGAATGGATGCCTCCGTGAAATGTAGATAGATGAAAGTAGTCACTCGCACTCCATGATATTAAAGTCAATGCTGATTATTGACTGAGATAACACACATCTCCTTAGCGACGTTTCGAGACCATGCGGTCCCGTCCTCAGGCAAACAGACTATGTACATGTCCTCGAACATTAAAATACTGTCGCTGAACGTCAAAGGCCTTAACTCCCCATGTAATAGACAAATTGCATTTCGCCAGTTCCATTCCTCTAAATTTGACATTATCTGCCTCCAAGAATCACACTTTTCCCGATCCTCTCACCCGCGTTATTTTCATTCCCAATACTCACAGATATACAGTATATAGCCAATGACCAGACTAAACACTGGGGAGTCTTGATAGGATTTAGGAACTTTACACAGTTTAAATGTACCAAAGAGATCCCTGACCCTTCAGGCCGCTATCTTATTCTAATTGGCACATTGTGCGATCGTGATGTAACCATAGTAACCTACTATGCACCTGACTCTAGACAACTCCCCTTCTTCAAACATCTCCTATCCACCATTGGTACTCGCCAACAAGGTACACTTCTAATTTGTCTAGACTCCAATATAACCGTTTACCCTAGCCTAGATAAATCAACAATGAACGATCCCCCCACTGACAGCTCCAAATCCTTTCCTACACTTCTCTCTCATTATTCCTTGATAGATTGCTGGAGGGAAATGCACGCCTCCTCTAGAGAATACACTTTCTACTCAAATCCACATGATTCGTTTTCCAGGATTGATCACTTCTTTGTATCGCACTCCACTCTCCCTTCAGTGGTTGAAGCCAACATTATTCCATTCTCCTGGACAGACCATCAGGGGGTGACTCTTTTAATGTCCTCCCTGTGGTCTGAACATACTGATCGATCCTGGACAATGAACAATTCCCTTCTCACAGATGAT